TTAATCGGACACCATTGCAATTTATGACTCCTATATATGTACAATTTTGTTGGTGTGCGTATTATGCAGTTTAAAATGGTTTATTCTCTTTTTACTTATTTTTAAATTACTTTTTAACAAGTCTACCTCGTATTTGAAGGGGGAGGGACACCATTCCTAAAAATTTGGAATTTCATATTTGACTCCTTAATTAGTAAATTTGTAGGTGGTCTCCACATGACATCCAAGGTTGATCCTATTTTTCAATCACAGATCAATTATTCAAACTCACTGAATTTAATCCAGTCCTTATGTAATTGTTTCAACTAAATTTTCTTTCACATGTATATATAGGTTTCAATCTCAAAAAATTTCAACCACAACACTTTCATCTTCACTTTTTCTAAAATTTTCACTCTATTTTTAAATATTGAATAAAAAGTTAATCAAAAAATGACTTCGCATAGTGAAGAAATCGAAGAAGAACAAATATCAAGAATCGAAAAAGGTAAAGGCATAGATTGTCATGGAGGAATTGAGACAGTCATATGTACTTCTCCTAGCATTGTTTGCCTTACACAAAAGGTAAAACAATTATTTTTAAATTACATAGTTATAATGAGTATTAAATCTTTTAAATAAATTGGTGTATTAATTTTTACAAATTGATTATAGTTGATAGCAGAAATGATTGGGACGTATTTTGTGATATTCTCTGGATGTGGAGTGGTGGTAGTAAATGTGTTGTACGGTGGAACCGTGACGTTTCCAGGAATATGTGTAACTTGGGGTCTCATTATTATGGTCATGATTTACTCTACCGGTCACATTTCTGGTGCACATTTTAATCCTGCTGTTACCGTCACTTTTGCCATTTTCCGGCGATTTCCATGGTATCAGGTGGCTATTTCTTATCAATCTTTTCTTTGAAAAATATCTAAATATTTTTTTTTCAAACACTACATTTGGCCTATATATCTACAAGTGAGGAAAAATTTGAAAAAAAATCACAAGACAAAATATCAATCTCTTATAAAGTTTTAACACAAAACTTCAACCATCATTAAGTTCATCTAGAAAACATATACACATCATTGTAAGAAAAGCATAAGACAAAATATCACACTCTTATAAATGATTCATTATTCACTTTATAAAACTTCAACCATCATTGTAAAAAATTACGAATTCATTTAGAAAACATATACACATTAACATAGAAAATGCAAACAAACAATTAAAAACTAAATTATAGTACTTTGATTTGATATTTTAATAATGAATGTGATTGTATTATGTTTTGGGCAGGTACCATTGTATATAGGTGCCCAACTTGCAGGATCCTTACTAGCGAGTTTGACATTGAGGTTAATGTTTAAAGTGACACCTGAAGCTTACTTCGGGACAGTTCCGACTGATTCTTCAGCACGAGCGCTCGTTGCAGAGATAATTACATCATTTCTCCTCATGTTTGTTATCTCTGGTGTTGCAACTGATAATCGTGCGGTTAGTATTTTTTATATCAACTTTTTTTCTTCTCCTTGTAATACCCA